ACAAAGAAATAATACTCAAGGGAATGACACGTGGTTTGGAATGGAGTAAAAGAGAAATTGACTGCAAACTTTAACATTATTTTAGTTTGATATGTTAAGATGTTGAGCAAAATATTCATGTGTTCCAATGCAGAATATTCATGTGTTCCAGTGCAGAGTATTCGTGTGTTCCAGTGCAAAATATTCGTGTATACCAGTGAAGTTCCGTGGGATTTTTAACCGTTTCTATTTTTGAAGTCATCTATTCATTTCTTTTCATTCTCGTTGGTGTTTTAAATATTTTGACATATTACGATAAATATTTTAAAGTCTTAACAAATAAGGCCTCTTCGGATTTAATTTAAATATTCTTTCCAAGAGGGACTCACGGAAGGATATACAAATGATTTTCAGGCGTTCTTCCATGTAATCCATCCATACTATTTATCCCATGATGAATTGCATCGCATCTGTGAAGTCAATCAGGGAGGTGGTAAATATACGCTTAAAACACATGCAAAAATTAAAAGTTCTGGGGTTAACCGAGTGATAATAACAGAGTTTAGAGTTTTAAATTTTTAGAGTTTGGTTTTAAATTGCCACATGGTATGTAGTCCAAAGACTATTAAGGCACTATATTTAATTGAAGTATAGCTCTCTGTCTAAAACCAAATTAAATTTAGAGCTTTGCAGAATTTTCAATCATTTTTATTTTGTAGAAGACAGCTTTTTCTACGGTTGTCACTAGATTAATAGACTCAAAGTGGCGATGAAAATGTCGTCTTTCGTACTCTCCTCTATATTAATTTCGTGATCTTTTTGATCAAGAAATACACGGATGAAACGTTGCATGCGATGATAGACAGGGCAGAAAAACGGGTTCGACTTTTATGCGTTAATAAGCTTTAATACTTCATAAACAGGCTTTTTTGGGGCTGATTAACAAAATACCAAAATTTGGGGAAATTTAAGGAATGCGTATTTGAGATATTAACCCCTGAACGTTGGGAGAGATGATATTTTGATCAGCACAAAAACTAACATGTTCTCTAATACCTAGAATTTTGTGAAAAGTTTAAAGCACAAGAGACACGAATCAACGCTAAACGTGTTTTAGCATGAATGAGAGATAAAGGTGGAAAAAAAATTGCGAAAATAGCAGCCTTGTCGTTTTTCTGCTCTGTCGCGATGATGACAAACACCACAAATATTTTTAATCCGAACACTGTTAGCAGAGCTAATGAATGCATAGAAATTTTAAACTTGAATAACGAGTTTAGGTTTGTCTCTCCATGTCAATGGCTCATTGAGAGGAGTGAAGAAAGAAGTGGCTATCCAATTATGGTTTAGCCTTCCTCTTTCTCCCACACAGAATTGAATGTCAAAATTTTTCCAGTTTTCCCAATATTGTTGAGCGAAAAATGGACGACTTGCACTAACAGGTCACGTGACCCTGCCTCTCGCGTTAAACGAGCAGTTGTATAAAAATGAACATAAGGATTGAAAATAACACTTCCACTTTAGTAGAGAGGCTGCGTTTCAACTCAATAATCAAAACAGGAGAAATGACATTAAATATAGTATATTTTATAAGAATTTGCTGGATTTCAAGAGCTTGACACAGCTGCTCGTTTTAAGGGAGTGGGGTGGGGGTAGGTTCACGTGACCTGTTTGTGTAAGTCGTGTCTACATCACCTTCAGTCAGACTCGAACTACATCAAAAGTAAAATGCTAATGGTGTACCTCTTTCCTTGTGCTTTAGTTTATGTTTCAAAGTTTACAGAATTAGTATTTTCGAAATTTGAATTCCAATGTTTCTTTTAATAGATATACACACCTATTTCAATAAAGACGTTGTCATCGCCAAAGGCTATAGGCGATAGATCATTTCAACGTACATGGAAATGGTTTTGTTGAATACAGAGAACATTGGATCAGTCTCAACACTATGGTCCATGTTCTTGACGAAAATAAGAAGCAGAAACACAAGTCATTCCAGCTATTCTTGGATCTTGAAATGACCTACTCCTATGGCTTTTCGTCTATCGCCTATTCCCTAGCTCCTTTCACGATCACAACGTTTATTGAACTATAGCCATGCATTTACAAACCGAATTCTCCGATTCAGACAGCACAATACACAAACTTAATTTCAAGAAAAAAGACACTATGACTTTGTAACGTTTTAAAATAATGGATACAATTTTACTGATGCACTTTCCCTCATACCCACGGGAGTTCTAGTTCATAACACAAGCTATCTCAATTTTTGCATTGGCAGATAACACATAATTTCAATATAGAAGAATCGCTGGCTAAAACTAATGGAAAAAATCATCTCATGACATTCTCTATTAAACTATATAATTGGCTCCTTAAAATTGAAAATTTCTTTGACAAAAACTGATAAGTTTTTCTATCATCAAACTTGAAGTTGAGACAATCCTTGGGACGATTTTTATTAAGGCTAACTAGCTAGATACTGCTGTTTGATTGCCACGATAGCGACGCTATGTCCAATATCTTCTCAGTTGATTGGTATATATGGAATAATCACGGATGAAAAACTTCTAGAATAAACGGTAAGCAATGGACAAATGAAATAATCTGAATAAAGTAAAAGTAAATAGCTGTAGCCTAATGACTACATTACTACGAAAAAACATCAGTGTTTATATTAAGAATATGTTGACCGCGTAGCACTTATGAAATACATGAAGATATAGAAATATATAGATAAGTTATAGTGCTTGGGAACGAGGTTATTCCGGGCGAAAGCCCTTGGAATTGAATTCGCTCGCAATCGAACCCACGAGCTTCGGAATCGTACTACCGATGCTCTACCAACTGAGCTAGAGGTCAGACTGAGGGCAGGCCGGGGTGAAATAGATGTTAGGTCGCGGTAATTATGATGCAAAGTGAGAATATGTGGACCGCGTAGCACTTATGAAATACATGAAGATGTTTATATTGTGTGATATGCTGTCTTTCTCGCCCATAACTACAATCCTGTTTGTCGTTTCTAGATCTTTCTCTTAATTAAAGTTTTCTTCTATTACTAGAAATGAATTCCTAATCTATCACGAAACAGCAGTAAATTCGCCAATCGAATGAAAAAGGGTTGCCAATTTTGAACTTTAATAGCTGGACGGTTTTACCCAATTATCAAATTTTCTGGAAAATTCATATTCAAAAACACTTATAGTAATATAGCATAACATAGTAATGTAAAAAAAGAGTATTGTATATATGTTCATAATATTCATGATAATTTATGGGACAAAGTCCATCCCTTTTTCCGAATTATTCGAGTGTATGGATCCACAACTTCAATGAAAAACCGAAATGAGATAGACATAACATGACTTGAACTGGTCAAGTCACACAAGACAAAGAGCGTTCCAAAAACCTGCCACTCAGAACCCGAATTAGAATACAGGAAATAGAACCAATCCACTTGCGTTGTTATGTTTCTTCATGTCAGACAACGTTTCATTCCTTGAGAATTGGGTTGTTGAAATTATGTTTTTCTTTTGCCTTTAAAGTTGCTGTTGTTGTTGTTGTTGTTGTTTTGTTTTTGTTTTTTTTCTTTTCCTGTTTTTTTCTTCTTCTTCTTGCTTTGTCGTTGTTGTTGTTGTGTTTTTCTTTTGTTGTTGTTGTTATGTTTTGCTTTTGTTGCTGCTGCTGTTGGTGTTGTTTGCTTTGTTGTCGTTGTTGTTTTTATGTTTTGCTTTTGTTCTTGCTGTTGTTGTTGTTTGCTTTGTTGTTGTTATGTTTTACTTTTGTTCTTGCTGCTGTTGTTGTTGTTGTTTGCTTTGTTGGTGTTGTTATGTTTTGCTTTTGTTGCTGTTGTTGTTGTTTACGTTGTTGTCGTTGTTGTCGTTATGTTTTGCTTTTGTTGTTGCTGTTGCTGTTGTTGTTGTTGTTTGCTTTGTTGTTGTTGTTGTTGTTGTTGTTATGTTTTGCTTTTGTTGTTTTTGTTGCTGTTGTTGTTGTTGTTGTTGTTAAATTACCGGAAAAGCTTGAGAAGAACTATCAATATGGATATATATATATAAATATTGTTTTGGTAAGGGAAGTCTCAGTAGATTAGGGGATTATAAGGACTTATTTACATGCAACAAAAATCATTGGGTATTAACGGAAGTGCCGTGAACTAAAAAAAGATAAAAAAGACCCCAAGTTTATTAGTTTCTCAGTCTTTGTTCTTTCCATTTTACTCTTCAAAGGTTAAAGCCGGCAGCTTCTTTAGTTTTTCTTTCTTTTTTGTTTGCGTTTGCGTTTTTTAAAAAAAGTTTGCGTTTCAGGCGATTTTTTTGTTGTTGTTGTTTTTGTTTTTGAACTGCCGCAGTTTTAATTCTAACGCTGATAAAAGCTCTACTGATGAAGGTGGTTTGATTCGAATTAACTCTATATAAAACTTGTTTCTTCACAGTTCATGGTGGATACGGTAACTGGTCATCGTTCAGTAAGTGTAACAAAACATGTGGTAATGAAACACAAATCCGATTCAGGGAGTGTAATAATCCTGTACCTCAAAACAGAGCACGAAACTGCTCTGAGTTAGGACCAGCGTACGAAGAAAGACCCTGTAATAACACTCCATGTCCGATACACGGGGGCTACGGTCAATGGTCTGGCTTTACTCAGTGCACGAAGTCTTGCGGATCAGGACAGAAGTACCGAGGAAGATTGTGCAACAACCCGGAACCACAGTACGGCGGACTCAATTGTTCACGCCTTGGTATTAGCTACGAGTCCGCTTCTTGTAATGACCACCCATGTCCAGTGGATGGAGGTTATACGGAGTGGTCAATGTTTAGTGAATGTTCCAAGTCTTGTGAAAATGGCACCCAGTTTCGTCATAGAAACTGTACGAATCCAGCTCCTGCTTACGGTGGAAAGAACTGCTCTAGTCTTGGAAAAGATCGTATTATGATTCCATGCAATACTCATAAATGTCCCATCGCCGGGGGGTACACAAATTGGACCAATTTTACGGAGTGTACAAAGACATGCGGAAGCGGCACGAAATTTCGAACTCGAAACTGCAGCAATCCTTTTCCGCAGTTCGGCGGGAAGCATTGCTCGGTTATAGGACCTGCGAATGAGACAATATTTTGTAATACTGATCCTTGCCCGATAGATGGTGGATACACTGCGTGGACGGAATTTAGTAATTGTTCTAAGCCTTGTGGAAATGGAACGAGGTTTCGGTTTAGAAACTGTACAAATCCTCGTCCTCAGCACGGAGGAAGGAATTGCTCTCGTTTTGGTGAAGACATCGAGGTTTTATTCTGTAATGTTCATTATTGCCCAATACATGGAGGTTATACTATGTGGTCAAATTTCACTGAATGTTCGGTATCTTGCGGAGGAGGTCTTAAGACTCGAAACAGAACGTGTACTAATCCTGTTCCGATGTACAATGGAAAGAACTGTTCACATATTGGTGCGGATTATCAGTCTCAGGACTGCAACACTGACCCGTGCCCGGTCCATGGAGGTTTCACTCCTTGGTCAAACTTCACAGCTTGTTCTAAAACTTGCGGAAATGGAACAAGAACACGAAACAGAACGTGTAGTAATCCTGCTCCGAAGCACGGGGGCAGAAATTGCACGGGGGAATTCGAAGAGGTAGAAGACTGTAATACGTTTCCTTGTCCGATTGACGGAGGATACACAAAGTGGTCAAATTATAGCGAGTGTTCCAAGTCATGTGGAATAGGTGAACAAGTTCGCTTTCGAAACTGCACTAATCCTATTCCACGGCACGGAGGCAAGACATGTGATGATATAGGACCACCTATGCAAGTAAGAGTCTGTAACACCCATCTTTGTCCAGTTGATGGGGGTTTTACAGAATGGACGAATTTCACCGAGTGTAGTAAATCGTGTGGAAATGGCACGAGCATCCGAACTAGATCCTGCACGAATCCGACACCCCAGCACGGAGGGAAAAATTGTACACGTATCGGGAGTAGCTTTGATCTACGTTATTGCAATGAGCATCCTTGTTCAGTCAATGGAGGGTACACTCCATGGTCGAATTTTAGTGATTGTACGAAATCTTGTGGCAATGGAACAAAAAATAGATTTAGAAATTGTACGAATCCAACCCCAATGCATGGGGGGAAAAATTGTTCTCATTTGGGACCTGAATTTGAAATATTTCCTTGTAATACGCATTACTGTCCTATTGATGGAGGATATTCAACCTGGACGAACTATACCATGTGTAGCAAGCCGTGTGGAAACGGTACTCGATATAAAACAAGAACTTGCGATCGTCCAAAGCCGCAGCACAATGGCTTGAATTGTTCTCGTTTAGGGCCAGCAAAACACGTTATGCCGTGTAATGTTTTTCCTTGTCCTATACATGGGAGCTACAGCGCTTGGAGCGCGTTTACACCGTGCGATAAAACATGTAATAATGGAACGAAATTTAGAACTAGAGAATGTAACCAACCCGTTCCGCAGTTCGGTGGGCGAAATTGTTCTCTCTTAGGTCCTGATATTGAAGTGGTTGAATGTTTTTTGATGCACTGTCCTATAGATGGGGGGTATAGTAACTGGTCAGAATTTGGGCCCTGTTCTAAGTCCTGCAATATTGGGATTAAAAATAGAACAAGAATATGTAACAACCCTGAGCCCAAGTATGGAGGTAAAACCTGTGAAGTGCTTGGGGAGGCAACGGAGGAGGTTGTCTGTAATACACACCCATGTCCTATTCACGGAGGCTACACGCAATGGACAGAGTTCTCGTCTTGTTCGAAAACATGCGAAGGAGGGATCAGAGTGAGAACGCGCAACTGTTCGAATCCTACTCCTATGCACGGAGGAAGAAACTGCAGTGACATTGGACCGAATACAGACATCATCATATGTAATAAGGAAAGATGCCCTGGTGAGTAAATATAGTTTGCAAATTCTTCTTCACAGCTATCTCTATAGTGGCTTTGCACCATCACGTGCCCACACTCTTAATACAGCTTGGAGCTTCCTTGGTCAGCTTCAGAGCAAAGGGGTTTTATTGTCCACAAGTTTAAGTCTTCAAGTTTTAGCACAATAACATCTTATATTTGAAATTTCAAATGCTAACTAGTTATTTGGCTATATTCTAATCTTCTGTGATCAACTAATTTTTTCAGTAAAATATTACTACTTTTTGACAGCTTTCCATGTTTACCTGTTCGCGCGTTTTTACCGTACAAAGAGTGAACTTCCACGTATTCTGACGGCTAAACGAAGTCTGGGACCTCCATTTTGTATTTGCTTATTTTATTTCTAGTATGATGTTCTTTCATCATGCAAAAATTTTTTTTAATCTGACAATGGGATCTTTTGCCCATGGACGTCCTTAAAACACAGGGAGTACAATTTAGATAAGATTGATACATAAAAGCATGACTAGAAAATGCGCATTTTATTGAGATATTTAATCTTAAGGCGAAGATAAGTGTGCATTATAATCCAGTAGACCCCTTGCATGCGAAGTCAAAGCAGCTCAATTGCATTCCGACGTGCTGCAAGGAGTCTCTTGAATACGAAATTCAAGCAAGACATTTTCTATATGAGTTATGATCACCGATTCACCATTTTCCATACATCGGTTCACTGGTCAAAGAAGAAGAAGATCTGATATGCGGCCACTTCTAAAAAATCTACAAGCAATGCGTTTACCACTCCTGGGTGGACGGCTTAATGCCTAACAGATCTTGCGACCCAATTGATAAAGCAGACGGTAGATTGAATTAAAATTTAGAAGTTTATTTTTGTGAAGGAAGAAAAAACCGGAGAACCCGGAGGAAAAACCCTCGAAGCACAGGAGGGAACCAACAAGCAACTCTACTCACATACGACACCGAGACCGGCAGAGCTTGAACCCGGGACGCATTGGTGAGAGGCGGCGCATTAGCAGCGCACGCAACCCGTGCTTCCCTCGTTTCAGAATTCTCTCTCCCAAATCATCTTTCGGATAAGTAATCTGTCTAATTGTTGAATACTTGATGGTTTTCCACAGATATCGTATTCAACATTACGATGAACCTTACAAATAAAGTGTGGACGCCGGATCTCGCAGACTTGGACAGCACAAATTACATTGACCTGAAACACGATCTCAAATCCAGTGTAAGTAAAACTGAAACCAAGAAATATAAGAGTTTCAAAAGTGTTGTTACACCAGGCAATTGCAATGATCCTTTGCAACTTGTCTAAAAATAGGATTGCAAATCGTAAGAGAATTTGCCTAGCGTAGCTAAAAACGTGTCTCGCAATATTGTTGCAGCGTTGCCGCAATCGTTTCGAGAACTAGAATACAATACCTGTTATTAAAGTTGAAACCGCAATGAGATATTCTTTTGTTTCAAGAATTCCCCCCCCCCCCCCCCC